CCGCAAAACTCCGAGCAACGACTCCGGGACCTTCAGCCAGTGGCTTTCGATGTCTCACGCCATGCAGCGGCCAGCAGTTGGGCACACAGCTTGCGATGCCGGACTGGCATCAGCCAAGAAGGTGCAGGAATAAGCAATATCACTTCGCAGCAGTTTATCTCGCCATGGCATTTTCGTCGCTTCGCCTAGTGTTGACACCCTCCCCCTAGCAATAATAAGCGTTGTTTTTCGAGAAGGGGTAGTTGTTGCTTACGTCCCGGCAGTTGCTGTGACCTGTGGTGGCTGCAGCTCTAGCAATCTTAAGGAAAGCCTTGTGCTCTGAGAGACAGAATCTAAAAGAGCTCAGAGAGAGAGGGAGAGACAAAGAGACAGAGAGAGGCAGAGCGAGAGAGAGAAGAGAAAAGAGAGAAAGAGAGTATTCACAAGCCGCACCCAAATCCAAACTCGCCGTACGACATGCAGTACTCAGTGAGGATCGCCGGAGCAAGTTTTTTGATGATGGTTTGGCTGGCATTTGTGCGAGGTTTTGCAAATAGGTTTTCCATCAAGAAGCGTGAGTTTGAAGATTGGGGTTCGTAACGTGTGTTGTCCTAGCTTGTGTAGCATGCTCACGTAGTGCTGGTAGTGCCAGTTGTTGAGCAGAGCTCGCTGCCATTCTCACCCGATCTACCCACGCCCCACCACCACTTGCGCAGCATTCGCAACTTGACTCGTTGTGTTGTTTTCTGAAGAACCCAGATGTGCCGAAGTTCCATTTGCCAATTATGAAGCTAGCGAGAATTACCCCTTGCAGCCTGAACCCTGGTCTTGCACGAATTTCCTGCGGGAGCTTCAAGTGGACCCCAGCTTATAAAGATGATTTAGCGCGTGACCGCCTAACAATGTCGACCTTCTTCAACCTGTGCTGTCGACAATAGCAAATCCCTCAATTCATCACCCAAAGCACAGCCAGTCGTGTTTGTTGCGCATGGTGCGGCTACATGCTGGACCCAGTGCAGGCGATGCGTTCAGATGGTGCCAAACCTTGAACACTGAGCTTTTCTCAGAGTAGATTGGGGTCGTTTGTATCAGTTGAGCAGTTCAGGTCGTCGGAAAACGGTTGAGCCTGATTGGTGTTGTTTGCGAGGTCAAGACCACAGGCACTGGGAGTCACTTCAATGCCGCACCAAACCTCACAAGCATGCTGCTGTACTTTGGAATAGGGCTCCTGTGGCTGAATGCGAGCATGTAAAAATGTGAGCATGTGCACGTGTTGTCTTTAACAGTCCTTAACACATGTCAAGATGATACCCATATCCTCTTCATGGCAGATGGAACGTGAACAGCTCATCATCGATTGTACATTAGCAGTAGCAAGATGCTTGATGTGTCATGCTTCAGGTTGGACTGGCCCTCAGCCTCCTGCAGTGCCAATCCGTCGCCTGACGCAGGACCGATGAAACATTTCGTGTCCTCACTCGCCGGGGACTCATCTCTTATGCCCCAAGTTTGGGATAAGCAGAACTTACACAGACTGTTGAAGCAATTCGACGATCCAAAGTGTGTATGACCCGCTTTGCACACGCAGCATGGAGCCCAAGATCTGGTTTGTTCGCAGCCAGGAGGACTTTGGATTACTGCAGCTCCTTAAACTTCGAAGCTTTCGATTTTAATTTTGGATGTGGCATGAACTCATCCTGTTTCTCACACCCTGAGGTAGTCACGAAGCGAGTGCTAGCTCTTCCGGAGCTTGCGGGGTTGTCTTTCGTCAAGTAGGCTCTGGGTCTGCAAACACTTTGAGGGCCTTTAGGTCTGATACGTCAATCCCGAAGGGCACGTACCGTTCGCAATGGAGTCTCGTGGTTTCAGGCAGAAAGACCCCCCCCCAGCACTTGACACCCGTGAGACACATGCTTGCCCAGAAAATTTAGCGCAGCTCTGTGTGTGACAGACTTGCACATAACTTTGGGTGAATACCGCTTGGGCACAAGTAGCACATGCTACACAATTTCAAGGTTCCCAGATGCAGCTTGACTGATCCTGCCACCAGCAACTCTAGCTTTCGTAGCCACCTCTGACTCTTGTCCAAACTTTAAACATCAAGCCCCATCCCGAAATCCCAGAACTGAACCTCGATGCTGATCAACCCCATTCGTCAAGCTTGGCGCTGATGCCTCGAAAGACCAACGGGCATTATCAATATGAGGGGGCAAGAGTTACCAAATCTAAAGCCAGACTCCTCAAACCCTTCGCTGCAATATGCCCCAGCGACACACACGTCTTGTTGTCATGTATAGCTCCGGCAACATACAGACTCAAAGCCGCAAATGAATTATGAACGCGGAACTTTGCGACTACACCCCCACGGCGGAAGCCCGAACCTTGACCTGACACTTTTGCTGCCTAGCCACCCTAGCGCTCACTCCTTCAATCGCTAAGAGCGAAAGCTCCCTTGCCGAAATCACCTGTTGACTCAGGTCGCAACCCCACCAGGTAGGGGAGTTGGGCAATCGAGAGCGCAGGGGTTTCTTTCTACACAATGGCCACGAGTTTGCTAGGGGATATGACATTTAAGATAGCAGGCACACAGGCCACTGTCTTGGTTTGTCCGAGAAGCATTAACTCCCTGAAGATGCTGCTCATGCTGATGTTGTTTAATGCTGATAAGGATGAGGATGAGGATGATGAGGATGTAGATGCGGAGGAGAAAGAGGAGGAGGAGGAGGAGGAGGAGGAAAACGAGGATGCTGATGACGATGGTGACGACATTCTGGGTCGATCAACATCGGCATCATCACTGTTGTAGCCGCAATCACCACCATCAGTCGCATCGTGTTCATTGATATCTCCCAACCATGACCGCCACGATCAACTCCCAACATGACCGCTTTCAACCCCCAACATGACCGCATTTCTGATCGTCATCACCATCAACTTTCTCCTCCTCGTCGTCCGCATCGTCTCTGTCGTCCTCTTCCTCCTCGTCCTCGTCATCATATTCATCGCCAGAGTCTTTGTCGTATTCACTGCCGTCGTCATCTTCACATCTTCACCACCGTAATGCCTCCATCCGGCCGTCTTTGTGATAGCTGTCCCAACCGCCATTGTTGGCAGGTTACTACAGCGGCCACGGGTCTGATTACGACGCTGCTCTGCTAATGCCGCAAATTTTCTTAGCGCTCGTTCCGACTGCGGTTGGCCCGGTGTAGGTGTTCTCCGCACAGCACACGTTGTTGTTGGTGTTGGTAGTGTTGGTGGTAGTGGCGGTGGTGTCGTTGTGGTTGTCAGTCGTTGTCGTTGTTGTCGTCGTTGTGGTGGTCGTGGTTGATGTTGTGGTTTATGTTGCGGTTTATGTTGCGGTTGATGTTGTGGTTGATGTTGTAATTAACATAATAAAGATGTTGCGGTTGATATTGGGGTTGATGTTGTGGTTGATATTGTGGTTTATGTTGCGGTTGATGTTGCGGTTGATGTTGTGGTTGATGTGGTGGTTGATGTGGTCGGTTACCGTAGTTGGTGGTGGCTGCGGTTGTTGCTGGCTGGCTAGCTCTGGCTGGCTGGCTTTGGGTGGCTGGCTAGCCGCCTCGGCTGCCCTGCCTGGCCCGGCTGGCTGCTGGCTGCTGGGCTGGTGTGCTGGGGTGTGCTGGGGTCGTGGTGGTGGTGGTGGTGGTGGTGGTGGTGGTGGTGGTGGTCGTGGTCGTGGTCGTGGTCGTGGTCGTGGTCGCGGTCGCGGTCGCGGTCGCGGTCGTGGTCGTGGTCGTGGTCGTGGTCGTGGTCGTGGTCGTGGTCGTGGTCGTGGTCGTGGTAGTGGTAGTAGTAGTAGTCGTAGTAGTAGTAGTAGTAGTAGTAGTAGTAGTAGTACAACAGGGCACGGGACC